CAATGATTCTTCCTTTGTTGTTGTCACCAAAAACGACATTGCCACCTTTGAAATACTCTAAACTCCTAAATTTGGATGTGTCTCCGGTCATGTGCTTGGAGCATCCGCTATCGAGATACCAAGAGGTACTCGAAGCCTTCAAGCACACCTACAAAAAGATATCAAGGAGACGGTTTAGGTACCCATGTATTGTTGGGTCCTTTTTGGTTAGCATATGTGCGATGTGTGTGCGTTTGTTGAAAATGCCTAATTTTGGTGAAGCACACGAGTGCAATGTGACCTATCTTATTGCAATAGTGGCAAATAACATTTGGATTATTCATCATATATGGTTGAGTGTAATGAGTTCTAGGTTTGCTAGGATGTGCTTTTCTAGTTTGAGTTTTTATCCTAGCATTTTTATTCCCCATAGCTTTAACAAATGTTGTTTTTCTAGGTTGGTTTTTCTTATATCCAAGTCCTTCACCATTACTAACTTTTTGCTTAAGTATTTTATCTAAGGTGTTTGAGGCATTATTGAACTTTCCCAATTTGCTCTTTAAACTAGCGACCTTAGCTTTTAGTGATGTACAACTAGAGCATGTAGAAGAAGAAGTAGTTGAAGGTTCTTGTGACCTTTTTCCAAAAGAGATAATTTCTTGTTTAAGTTTATCATTTATATTTTTGAGTTCTTTGATTTCATTCTCAAAAATCAGGATTTTTTGCTTTATTTCATTGTTTTCTTTGGAAGCCTTTTTGAACATTCTCACTAAATCTTCTACAATGCAAACAACATCATTAAGAGTTAAAGGATCATTGGGAGAAGGTTCTTGATCACTTACCTCTTTTGATGTATCACCATCTTCAATGGCCATGAGACATAAGTTGGCCACTTCCTCCGTTTCCGAGTCTTCACTCCCGGAGCCGTCGTTCTCCCAAGAAATGTAGGCACGTTGCTTCTTCGGTGCCTTCTTGTCCTTCTCGTTCTTGAGCTTTGGGCACATTGGTTTGATGTGTCCAATTTCACCACACCCATAGCATTTGGGTGGAGTGTTCTTCTTGGCTCCCTTCTTGAGCATCATCTTGTTGAATTTTTGGACAAAGAGTCCGAGGTCGGTGTCGTCGCTGTCATCATCTTCATCATCAACGTTGTTGTGGGTTGATGTTGTTGCGGGTAGAGCAATAGACCTCTTGTTTCTCTCTTCAACCACCTTTGAGAGTTGGGTAGTTTCGTAAGTAATAAGATTACCTCGAAGAGCATCATAGGTCGTTGTTTGGAAGTCACGACCTTCTTCGATTGCGTCCACCTTTGAACGCCATTTGGGGGATAGGCTTCGCAGCACCTTTCTCACGAGCTCTCGGTCGGTGTATGTCTTCTCGAGAAGATTGAGAGGATTGATGATGTTAGAGAATCTCTCAAACATTTCCTCAATCTTCTCATTTTCCTTCATTGAAAAGAGTTCATACTCGTGAGTGAGATGGTCAATTTTGGCCTCCCGAACCTGCGCGGTTCCTTCGTAGGTGACCTCCAATTTCTCCCACATTTGTTTTGCGGTTTCACACCGCGAGATTTTACGGTAGTCATCTGCATTAACACCGCAATAAATCATGTTTATTGCCTTTGCGTTGAGCTCCATCTTTTTGCAATCTTCGTCGGTGAACTCCTCTTCTGTTTTGGGGACGTTGACTTCACCGACTTTCTTCATAGGGACTCCGCAGCCGTTCTTCACAATCAACCACAGCTTGTAGTCGTTGGATTGGATAAAGATTCTCATCCTCTCCTTCCAATACGAGTAGTTTGTTCCATCGAACAATGGTGGCCTCGTGGTTGATTGTCCCTCGGTCACT